TACATTCAGCAACAGTTCTTTCCTCCCTCCACCTAACTCAGCCATTCACAAAACACAATTTGACCTTCGACATTCCTTGAAGCTTACACTGTCGTCAACAAGTTCTCAGTGTTTGGGATGCTCACAGGGTGACCATTGATCTCTAAAAATTCTCCCACATATATATGTTGGGTTTTTTTAACAGAAATGATAGCTGGCAATGCAGGAGGAATAACTAGACTCAGAAAATCCAGCATGTAGGTGGAAGAAGTGCAGCCAAGTCCTGGGACCACAAGGACAAGTCTGGGCTGCCTGCAGAATTTACAGGAAAAAAGACAGTACAAATATCTGGATTGTTGGCAGGATCAAGATGCAAAAAGGATTTTAACACATCCCTAGCACATGACAAGTATTTGGCAGACCCACAGCATGGGGAATTGCACATGTGGTTCTCATTAATGAAAAACATACTTAAGATTTAAGGTTTTTTTTTTTAAATTTCATGAAATTTTCAATTTGCATTCACTTCAGAAAAGCTATTTTAATTGTGGAATCTTTTTCATGTTTCCTCTAATACAATGCTCTCCAGAAAGCTTTAAATCCATAAAGGTTATAAGACAGCCACCAAGAGATTCTTCATGCTTTTCCAAATGTGAATGTCCTGGTTTGAGAGACACAGGACTAATTTATCTTCTAATACTTGAGAAAACTGCACTTTTAGAAGACTCTAGTGTCTGAATTTGGGAAAATATTTACTTTATATCCATCTATGGTGTGTGGGTTTCAAGGTCTCAGTGTTTTCGAGCTTGCCAGGTGCAGGGATGAGGAGGAGTGAGACCTGAGCACTTGACCCAAGCTGGCCAACAGGATTATTTCATACCATCAATGTCACATTCAATATAAATTAGAAAGTTTGCTGCGAAGTGCTTCCTCTCTCCCTTAATGGCTGCAATCCAGAGAACTTCTTGCCCAGATGCTGGACCCCTGAGGCCTTCCCTTCTTCCCAAAGCTGTAGCGCTCGCAGTGTCCGACATTTGCTGTCCACTGCTGGGAGTGCACAGCTTCCTACTGATATAATTGGCTGAGTATAATCTCTGTGTATTCTGTATTGGTGTTGGGATCAATATTGGTTCTTTAGTGTTATTAATATTAATCATCTAGTCTTATTCCATTAAATCTGTTTATATTTCAACCTCTGATTTTCCTTGTTTTTTCCTGATTCCCCTTCCTCGGTGGGGAGGGGTCATCAGGTGATAGAATAATTGTCTAAACAACAATAAATTGTGGGTTTTTTCAAACCTCAACAGTGAATCTCAACACTTATGTCATATATTCTACCGCTTTGGCCCATAACATTAGGATTCGCTTCTTCCAACTATCATTTCCTTTTGGATTGAACCTGGTATGAAGATGTCCTTTATGAAAACAGCGAGCAAGGGCTAGGCTCAGAGAAGTCAGAGTAAATGAGAGCATCTTCCAGTCCTTTGAAGAGAGCAAGCATGAGATTTTGGCAGGAGAATTGTTAGCATGAAGCAAGACTTTGCCAGAAACCCCACCATTGCCTGAGTTAACACTGCCTGGAGGGAGCACCATCCAAGGAAAACTGACAGGGAGATGATGGGAAACAACAGCATCACAAATTCCGTGGGCAGTGACTGAGGAATAACCATACTGTCATCATATTTTGGTATTTTTCAATCAGGTATACAGGGGACTTACTTGGTAGTGTAGCAAAAGTCAGTTTGCCCATGTCTTCCTTTTGAAGAGACATCCCAAGTACAGGCCATTTTACGTAAATTGTGCGTTACGCATTTCAAATTCTGAGGGTCTCCCAGAGAACCTGAAATCATATGAGAAATACAGTCACAAACTGCAGGTCAGAAATGACCAACTGTAAAACAACTGCTATTGTTCACATCTATAGCGATTCTTTTTACATTTTTACTCCATACATGTCTGGCCAACATTTTAAAACTGTTGAATGATTTGTGTACCTGATTATAGACAGCCACAGACTGACAGATTTCTATAAGTACCTAAAATCTGGGTTTATAATTGTGTGCAATGACATAGGCAGCTGTCTCTTTCCACAATAGTCGTTCCTAGCCTAGCCTAATAAGCAGGCTTTGGGCCAATGGCAAAACTGCAATCTTTGATGATAAACTTAATGAGTTTTTTTGCTCTCCTTCGTTGTCCCACATGGAGGGCAATTAATGACAGAAAGGCAATTAATGACAGAAAGGCAATTAATGATAATGTGTGAAATTGTCACAGACAGCCAACATATATAGCAAGGTCTCAATGCGGATATTTACACCAACTGCATATGCAGACTATCACAGTTGCATTATGGAGAATTTAACACCCAATTTTGTGCTGTTTTACAAGATGCTACTGGGTGCTGGAAAGCAGAGACCAGGCCTGGTAGTACCTCCATCCCTAGGATGGTGTGGGACCTCAGAGGTGATGATTTTTGAACATACATATGGTAGGAAAGCAACGTAATTAAATGGTGTCAGTAGAGAAGCTACAAAGAAAAAGTAATTAGCTAATTACATTGCAATAAACTCACCTATCTCTTGGCTATATATTAAGCTTCTTAAACAAAATAGCTAGTGCAAAAAGGCAGCAGAGGCTTGAATTCTTCCACATTTTTCTACTGTTTGTTTTCAGAACAGCAGCTTCCAACAAGCTGGTCAGTTCTAAAATTAAAAAAAAAAAAAAAAAATTTGAAATTCCCAAGATGGTGCTTCACAAACGCCACTTTTTGTTCCATCTACTTTTCTTATTCAGTGCTGCTCCCAGGCATAGCAACTCCTTTCCTGTCTTTGTCTGACAAGTAAACCTTTTTCACTGTCCCAACCACATGCATATATTTTCAGTGACGCATTTCAAAGATAACCTCAAGATTCAGAGACATGTAAAATTCAACTGTTCACAGGCCTCCTTCAGGACTATCTGAGGCCAGAAAAGAATAGACGTGGCAGGGTATTCCACTAGAAGAGGTCTATTCAATTTAGATGAAATGTCACATTCACAAATGGTCCTGTATAACATGAATAGAAACATCCCCTGCTTTGGATATGGGTTTAAGGGTATTGGAAAGCCCATGTGTTTTCCTCTCCCATCTGCTCACTCTTCATATTATTGCTACTCAAAGCTATGGGATGCCCTAGACACTGAAGAGTCAGATCTGATCGCCCAGGATCACCGTTCAATCCAGTGTTAAATAAAAATTTCTGGAGGAAAAAAAGAAAAAAAAAAGAGAACCATTTCTCTACCCAAAGATACTTGTTGCTTGAAATATTTACCTTAGGGTAAAAATGATCTAGAATATTATGTTTAATGTGTTCTTTGAAGATTAATGGGTTGCACGTTTTCCAAAGAGAAGTTCAACTGTTCAGTGGGATCTGGGGAACACATTCAATTCCACACACACATCAGCCACCATCAATTTTTGTTCTCAGAAAGAAACTGGCAGGAAAGCTTATTCTAAAGCCCAGTCAATCCCTGATGCATTGTTTCTTTGCCACCTGAAAGCTCTGAAGACTTGAGCACCCTCCCAGAGACCATAAGTCCCAGGCAGCAAGGGGCCTTCTCTCAGTGACAAAAAACAGGAACCAGGCCATTTTCACATTAAGAAATGTCTTGGTTTGAGTTAAAACAGAACCAATTTTCTGTTCAGTAATTTTACTTTGCAACTAAGCCTCTTATAACTACTGAAATTAACAGCATATTGTGTAGAAACTGTTCGCTCTCTCTGAGTGATAAGACCTATGTTTATAGCTGATGCCAAGGCATGGTATGCAGAGAGGCTCTTGCTTATACTTATTGCTATAACAACCAAGGCCAGCTAACTTTGTTATTTGCCCCATTGGAGGATCGGAAGCGGAAAAGCATAGTGGTGTCCCACCTGCAAGGAGGAGCGGACAGGACAGGTAACCCAAAACTGACCAACGAGGGTATTCCATCCCATCTGCCTCATGCTCAGTATAAAAGCTGAAGTATCAAAGGGTCAGCCCTCTTTTCTTCAATGGTCGACGTCTGAGGAGGACTCTGTTTGTTTGTCTGCCTGCGATCCCGATCCTGAATCCAGATCCAGAATCCAGTTCCTGTTCGTCGCTTCCCCAGTGCCAGCCGGTGTCATGATTGTCATCCTGGGAGTTTGATATGGTTTTGTATATATTTCATTATTTATTTTTTATTAGTTTATTATTAATATTTCATTCAAGTAGTTTAATTCCTTCTAAACTCATAAGCCTTTTTCTCTCTCTCCCTCCTCTCCTTGGAGAGAGAGTTGGGGGAGACCATCTGTCATTCATCTCAGTGGCCAAACTGGGCCAAACAACCATGACAAGAACACAGTTGAGCCAGTCTCTCCTACAGAGCAGTTTTCTAAAACTCACATTTTGTCCAGGCTACTTCTTTTAAAAGTCTCAAGTGGAAAGGCTCCTGACCTTGTCTTAGAAGCTAGATGTACATCATTGTCAGAATAACAGACTTTGTCTAAAAGCCTCTGTAATTTTAAATGAAGCCTCCCTTCACTGAAGTCCTCTGCACCACCAGGAGGATGCTCCCTCATCCTTATAATACAACCATATATTTTTAATTACTTTTTTTTTTTTTTTTAGGAAGTCTCCCTCAAGGGACAGCTGCAAATGCCACAAATGCTGTTCCGTCCCTCACCAATCTGTCTGCACTGTGCAAGGAGAGATGTACTATGTCAAATAATCCATAGCCATTCACAAGGGGCCACTTCTCTCCTTTCTCTTGGTCTGCAATAACCAGACAGAGGGAAAAGCCCAGGCAGCACAGGAGCTGTTACAGATGTTATGGCAAAGGTCAGTGTTACATCTGGAGGGAAGAAACACCCTTAAACTTAACAATTATTTTATTTTCACCATGTTCTCAAGCCACCTGAAGGCCTTTCTAAACACACAGTAATTTAAGCTATACTACCCCCAGACACATTCGGTTCTTCTTTTTATATATTCCTAAGATGTAATATCCATGCTGTGTAACTCATTAAAGGCCAAATCAAGAGTGAGGGTTGACAAATCCATGTTCAGGTAAATATGAATCAAGAACCTGCCAGCCCTTATAATAATCTCAGTGCCAGAAGTCCCCCACTGATTTTGGCATCTCTCAGGGGCTTCATATCATATTTGTCCATGTTACTAATGAAAAACCGAGATGTCAGCTCCAGGTTTAAACTTCGCTCACAAACCCCTCATCAAAAACTTGAAGACCACTCAGGCAGACCTGGGGTTTACATGAACAAAATGTCTAATTTTCATTTGATATGTACATGTAAATTATAATTGTTTGTTTGTAAATACTTCAGGTATTTCTTCAAAAGGCCGTTTCTGGTTTGCAGAAAAGCCCATAATCAAATTTCAAGTTTTACATCAAAATTACTTGACAGTCCCCTGTTAGCTAGCAAAAGCCAAGGAAAGAATAGAAAAGAGGGAAAGCACTGATGCCACCTGAAGGAGAGAAAACTGCATTGCAAAGTTAATTAAATCCCAAACCTCTCACTTTCTAAACACATTATCTGTACAGGAACCGCACTCCTTAGAACACAATTT